CCAAAGCAGATAATGCTTCATAAAACACCAAGAGGAGTTTTATTATCTTGCTGCTTGATTATTTTTTCATCTCAAGTTCAGTTGTGAAAATACCTGTTTTCATTGTTTTAATTTCTGATATCACTGCAGGGGTTTAACTACAGTCATTTAGTGTTTTTACAAAATAAGTAAATAAAAAAAAAACTACAGAACTTACTCAGGACTTCTGATGACAAAACTTGAGTCAGCCTGCTGAAAAATGTGCCACAACAATGCAATAAAATGTTTTTTTTTTGGTTAAAAATATATAATTTTACTGAAACTTAGTGCAATAAAAATATCAAATGCCCTTTTACAGTCACACTGACACGGATTCTTTTTAGTTCCTCTTTATAAAATTGCCTAAAAGAATATTGCCTTGCATTCTGCAACATAACCAGGATTTTTTTTGTCTGCAATAAATTTTTTTTCTTTCCCTGAATGAAATATTAAAATTCTCACATTGTTTTATGAGTTATTATTTATTTATAGTGTTTTGTAAGATTACTTTTCATACAAAGAATGAACCAGTTGAATAAATAGTTATAATTTAAAATGTATAAAACATTCAGCTCAAGAAAACAAAGCATACTGTATAACTGGATGTAGCTGATGTGTATTAGAGTCTATATTCATGAAGTTGGCATGTGCAGTATTTTGTTTTGGTCCTGTACTTCACTGTTAGTTCACTGCTATCCCTCCAATTCTCACTTCTCCGTGCTGGATGTGTTTCTGCGTGGCGCCCACCCAAGGTTGTTCCTACAACATGTTGTTCTTTGAGATTCATTGCCATAAGCAGCAGTGATGCGCTCTCTGCAAGACATGCCAAGACTGCTGGATCAGGTCCAGAACGAGGGGCAAAAAGGAGAGGGAAGGAAGGAAAAGAGATGACGGAGCCAGATCTCGTGATTTTTGTTTACTCTGAGTAAAAGATTTATTTGAATCGAGGGTGCTAAGTAATTACTGGGCATCTAGATTCAGCGTAGGAATGTCACAGTGAATCCCCAAATGTTCACTGCTTGCCGTCGCCCAGACGGGACTGAAGGATATGAATGTTAATGCCATGTGTGGTACAGAAAGATCTGCAATAGCGGTTCACTCTTTTACTTAAAACATTTGCTGTTATCCCGGATGTTTTTCAGCATTTTTTGTTCTGAAAAAATGAGAATTAAATCACAACATTCAATTTAAAGATAAGGACATTTGAAAATATTCAGTGTTTAAGACGTCATATGAGATTATTTACAATCCAGTTTCAGCAGAATGAACTCATAAATCTAAAAGCTTTCAGAGTTTAATGTCAATTTTAATATCAGACACTTTATAATGCAGGACTAATTAGCACTATATAGTTATTGGTCCTAATGCTTTATTTTCTGCAGAAACATGATCAAAATCCCTTTAATGTGCCCGTAAGCAACTCGGTTTTATCTAACAAGCAACTTTAATGTGTTTATGTGTATATTTATGCTACAAATACAACTGCATCAAGCATCTTTCTGCTCTTGCAAATTAAGAACAACAGAATCAATAGCCTCTACGTGGCACCGAACAGAAAGTAACTCCAGGCTGTGATGATTCATGCTGAGGATCAGAACCTTTAGTTCAGTTTACAACACATGAAGCACAAATCACAGGAAACGCAGATATTACACAGAAGACATGAGATGTAAAGACTTTTTGTGTGAAAACTACAGAAAGACGACATCTATCAAATGCTGAACTTTTTAGTGATACTGATCTGACAAAAAAACTTCTATAGTCCCTTTTTTGCACTTTGCATTGAGTTCAGCAGGTTGCAGAAGTCTGCAGAGCAGAGATGATGCTGTAAAATGACTTGCAGGTGGATTGTGTTCCCTTTAATAATATGCAAAAGATAAACATCAAGTTTGTTGTCATGAGACTGCAAGGGGAGCGTAGGAAACATAAACCAAATCAATAATCATCTGCAATGCATCTTCAAGGTTAAAGTGGATGGGGCAGAGATTGTTAATCCAATAAATAAAAGCAGTGAAAATATATAGAAAAATAAAGGTTTATATTCATCTCTAAAAATGTCTCGGCAGGGTCATGGATGTGGGGGAGACCGGGGACAGTAGCAACAAGGGACGGTTGCAACATGTCATTTTTCTCCAAACAGAAAGAAGCTCGAGTGATGACACTCAACACTGTACATGCTCAGTTAGATGTCCCACCTTGTAAAGAAAAAGTAAGCAGATTGAAAAACTGCTCCAGGATTTAATAAACAAACAAACAAACAAACAAACAAACAAACAAACAAACAGTTTTTGAGGTACCAAAGTATTTTTTTACCCAGCTTTATTTTTGTTCTACTGTTGTCACTGTTTTTGTGATCCAGCTCAAACTTATATGGTTTAAACAAGTGATCTGTTGACTTTTAACTAATATAGTTAACATGTATCCAGATCAGCTTATTTAGCTAACACATGAGTTTTTATCATGGGCGACAGGAAGGGAGACGTCCCCATATGATAAATTCATATGAAAACAGAGCACATACAGATGATATTAAGATGTTGAAATTAAGTTTACACTTAAAAGGGTATTGGGTATTCATGACAGTTTTATAGTTTAAAACATAAACATGTTTAATATGTATTTTCTGCAGTTGTTGTTTTCAACAATGGTTTTAAAATCCCAGTTTCTTTCAATGTAAATTTTGCATAATGTAGGTGTACAGTTAGCCTGGTTAAAGCCAGACCCTGTCCTTCACTTTGCTTCGTACAAGGGTCTGGACTTGATGCATAGAGAATCGATTTCTTGCAGGAGGCGTGGCCTCTGCTGAAGTTTAAAATGATTGGATCAGTTGGCTGCGACGTATGTCGCTGTGACGGAGGCTAAGCTAAGAAGCTAACCGGAAATCGCGTGTGCTGTAAACAACCCTGCTGAGAGGAGAGAAGTACCAAGCCGAACAAAACGACGTGAGAGCTGCTGCTTTGTCAGACAAATTGAATTTAATTTGGAAGCCTTATCAACACGGACTGGCTTCATTCACTCCCTCCACTGCTGTATGCTAAAACAACTAGCAGATACTGCGCAGAAAGTCGACGTCGTTCTGTTCTCTGATTGGTCCAGGTAAAATAAACTACAAGCAGACACTGCGCAGAAAATTGACGTTCTGTTCTCTGATTGGCCCAGGTAAAATAAACTACAAGCAGACACTGCGCAGAAAATTGACGTTCTGTTCTCTGATTGGTTCGGCTAAAAATCTGCTGAAATCCTTCTCTATGGGAGAAGTCCCAGACGGAGCAGTGAAGGGAAACTAGAATTTAGCGGAGCTGCGTAGGAAGGCAAGGGCCAGGCTAGCGCACAGTGACAATAGGCAAAACAAAAGTTAATTGTCTCACAAATTGTTCTATTTTCCTTGTCTCTAAAAGCCAACTGTATTTAATATCGATTAGAGTCTTTGACATCTGTATATAAGGTCTACTCATCAAGGTAAATCTATATTCACCATTTGATCAAAAAGAATAAATAAATAACACTGAAACATCATTATAACTTACAGCTTTTATTAATTTAGCAAGAATGTAAATGTAAAAATAGAAAAACTTTTATTCACAGTGAAATATATTGTATTAGCGATATGTTGTAAACACCCCCAAACAATGTTGCAACTGTCCCCGGCTCCGGGGTCAGTTACAACATCTGACATCTCATTTTCAAATGCAAATTGTGAAGAAATGGTTTTGACTATTAACAGACAGATGTAAGTTTATTGTTTTAAAATTTGATTTGTCAAATTCAAACCATCTCTGAGTAACAGAGTCAAATGCAAAAAGTGTTGCAACTGTCCCCGATCTCCCCTATGTTTTGGCCTCTTTTTTAATAATCACCTTTTCTATTGATGATCCACCTTGTCACCCAATTTCCATGGTCAAACACTGAGAAATATGGAGCTTTTTCTGTCTTTTCTTTTGTCAAGAAAAGAAAAAACAAACTGAGTTAAGCAGAAATCCAGTCTTAGATAAAACTTCTCAAATCCAGCAGCCTCTGCTCCAACATCAGCAAACAGTTTGATACTTCCTGTGTCTGTTTCATTCAGTCCAGCTGCACGCTGCTTAGTGTCAAAGCATGTGCGCTCCATCACCCCACTATGGGCGCCTGGTAGGACGTCAACTATCTTTTCTCTCTCTCTCACACACTCCTTTAGACTCTGTCACACACTCACAAGACTATATTTGCTCATACTATTAAAATATCACACACGCATACAAATAAAAGCATGCACACAATACAACAGTTGCACACACATACTATTTAAAATGTCACACATGCACGCTAAGAAAAGCATGCACACACACGCACAGCACACACTCTTTAGCACACACGCCAGTCAAGTGTGGGAACATCACATCACAGTGGGATGATGATGATGATGATGAGCTGAAACACGCCCTCCCGTGGCCTCAGTGCGAACTCACAGGAACATCTCTGATGTGGAGGAGCAGAAAGTTAGATGAGGTGGGGGTGAAGGGGTGGTGGTGGTTGGGGGGGGGGGAGAGACACATGCTTGTGAGAGACTTTGTGTGCACTTGTTCAGCAGTGTGTTTGGGTGGGTTGGGGTTTGGGAGGGGACTCATCACACATGAAAACTAAAGAAGTTTTCTGGGGTCCTTTCAGCTCTAATTGGCACCGACTGTTAGAGGCACTGCAGCTGGTACACACACACACACACACACACACACACACACACAC